ACTCTTCTCGTATCTACTACTAATATGGTAAATCGATAAAAGAAAATTCCAGTCAAAAAATATTGCAATCTATGAGATGAGGTGAACTTACAGATTTTATTGATGTCCCATCTGCTCTGCCCTGATGTATGAAAATATATCGATCTAGGTTGCCAGGATTGTCCATTATTCGGACTAGTAGAATGTGTGATTGGTGTCGCAACAACAAACCTCATCCACCTTATTTCTGTTTGATCAACTTATAAATAAAGAGACCACAAAGAAGTGAATAGATCACCTTGTTATTCTACTGAGTTGCTCTACATCATCATATTTGTTTCAGATGAAATCAAAAATGTATATCCAGACAGAATGCATAATATCGATGAGTGTATGTGAAAAATAATCCAGTTCTCTAATAACATTATTGATTTTAGATATCACATGTAGAAGTAAATATTGGTGCGCTGATAGAGCCATTAAAGCTCTGTCAATTAAGAAAAAATATTCTAATACAGTGGTTTAATTTTGATCCACCATTTCACTATTATTCAATTCCATGTTGATGTTTTGAATCCACTGATCAGCTAATCCATCTCATGTGTGAAAATGAACAAAGTCCAACGTTCGAAGATTCCATCCTTACATAATACGATTGCAACATGGCTGGTGCCACAAATTCGGCACCCTGTAGTGTATCTTTGATAATCCTGACAAAGTTCTACCATTTCTTTCCGACAGCAACATTATGGTAAAATAGTTTCGTAGAATGAGAGGTTTCTGAAGTTAGTTCTGTTATTGGATAGTCTACCCTGAAGTGTTGAACCTTGATGTGTGTGCTCAATATTTGAAGTTGTCTTTGTATGATAAATTCTGAATAATACCATAAATAATACATGAAATCCGATTGTGAGCGCGAAATTACATCACTACTAATGTACTTAATGTAGTATAAGTTTCATTCAGACGTTGTCAGCAAACATACTGTAGAAATAGTCATTTGACATAAAATAAAACGTTGCCGATTGTTTTATTGAGAATTTGGCCTCATGTTGAACGAGTAGTCGAAATAATTTCATCCAGTATTTGTCTACCGAATAAAATCAAGTCCTCCACTTTATCCTACTTGACACTAGTGGAAAGACCGAAACCGCGAATTCTCGACTCAAACCAATTCAACTCTTTATAATTATTAATTCAAATGTTGTAATTCCGTATTATGTTATAGTTTGATATTTGTTCAGCATCTCTTATTCTATACAGCGGATGTTAATTTCAATTCATCGATGTTGGAAGTACCTTTTAAAGAAAATGCTGAACTCTCTGAAAGTAAGTCAAAATATTTAATTGCAAGCAGTTTATTCATATCCATCTCAAATATTTCACCACTTCTTGTATTTTCATCTGATCTAATAAATGTTGTTCGCCTATCAATAACTACGCTTGTCTGATACTTTGCAGACGAAAACAATGTATAACTGACTACTGGTCAGTAGTTCTGTAGATAGCATCCTTTCAATTCATTCACAACCTCACTTGCGTCTGCCAAGTGTATCAGGATGTTCGTCTAGCTCACAACAAGTAGTGTTACTGTGATAAGCATTAGGACGGTATTGCTGTGTAAACGTCGTCTACGTGATAAGAATGGAAGAAAATTAATTTCACCTATAGTCTTCCTCAATCTCGAATGTATGCATTTTATTTCCATGTCATCATTGTTAATTGCAGTATGTAAAATCTAGTGTTTAAATAACATCGATTGTTTATCTGAGATCACATGAAAATCTTGACCAGTGTCATCTCTTCCTAATTGTTTGACGAAATGTATGTAGGTTCTGTGCAATATCGGTAAATCACGTCGACATATGTAGTCGAAGGTTTGATGACATTCAAATTTAGAATTTATTTAGTTTGTCAGTACTCATTATCTGAATCTTCCCACTGGTGTTTAAGACTGCAACTGATCAGACTGTTTCGGGTGTAATACTGATGAATGAAGTATTTCATGGTACAGAACAAATCTAGTCAAAGGAATTAAAGTGAAAGCATGGACTGAATATTCACAATGACTTTGACAAATGAGTGGGGATATGGGGAAACGGCGAAAAGGAAAATGTGACTCTCCGTTATTTATCCACCATCCATCTAGTCTTCACATATGTCGGTTTTCATTACTTTGATGCTCAAAACACGTTGAATGATTTCTTCAAATAAACAATATTCGTGGATGATTTACTAACTGAATTGATTTTGTATTTCAGTTGTGCATCGAGTTAATGGGGAGATTTTTAAGAAATATGAGTGGGTTAAAGAATTGGATACCGAATCCTGTATTTTGACTATGTCATGTCCACAAGTAATGTAGAAAGCAATTTTCTACAGGGGTAACTTTAAGCTATTCTCTAAACTGTCGAATACAGAGTCTTGGTTTCGCCAAAGTCAAAACAATTAAGCTATTTGGCTTAATAAACTTTATCTGTTTCTAAAACGTAAATTAACAACATCAGTATACGAATAAACAGTAGTCTATTACATAGGGAAAAGGTGAAATATAAATGACATACCGAACAGTAAGTGGAGAATAGGAAAAATGAGTCAAAGGGGAGAATATTGTTCCAGAATGAACATAAAATTGTGATTGGTGGATAAAACAAAGACAGTCATACAAGGTCAAAGAATTTAGTGAGGTGGTGAGCGTTTCACCTATCATTGGTGTGTTCACTTATCGATCACACTTTACACTCCCCCCGAAACGCGAACCACGTCCGTCGTCGTATGTCGCCGTCAGATAACCGGCTTCTTCCAATAGACACAGGCTTCGCAAATCCCGAAGATTTCTTCGTTTGCCATTCTCAATCTTGCTGTACGAACTCGTCCGTCAGGGCCGTAGCTTACTTGTTCGACAATGGCTTTAGGCCATAGACTTCTGCTCGTTTCAACGTTACCCACGAGAACTAGGTCGCCGGGTTGTAGATTTCTGCGTACGTTTAATCATTTATCTCTTGTTTGAAGAGTCAGTAGATATTCTCTTATCCACCTATACCAAAATGAGGTAGTTAATCTTTGAGTTTCTTTCCATCTTTTATTGTATAATAAAGTCTTATCCACAGAAACATCGCCGGATGATAATCCTTTGTAAGTCAACAACGATTTATCCGGTATAAGAGCCTCTAGGGTGCCAGGATCATCCGTCATTTTAACTAGTGGTCTGTTATTTAGTATCCTTAAAGCTTCATCGATCGGCGCACTTTGAAATAAAAGCGCTCTTAGAATAGTCCAATAGATGACCGATGAAATGGGAATATTTAACCGTTCTTTTGCATACTTGCCGACTTTAGTACAAAGAGTACATACTGTTAATTCCATTCTGGTTAGGTTTCCATGATACTCACGAACTTTGAAACATGATTCTTTTGTTCGGATGTTCCACTCGATTCCCAGAGTTCGCTTACTCGTCCCATTAGACTCGCAGACGGTAACGTTTTCTTCAGTACGGTCTTCCTCTGGGTCTAACTCCAACACTTCAATATTATTGCTAGTCCATTTAGTTAAATTATATCGTCCCAAACTTATGAGTCTTTTAAGATGTGAATACGTCAGTTTAGCTTCTTCTATAGCATCCATACTTAACAATAAGTTGTCAACATAAAACTGTCCCTTAGTTAAGTGCGTAACAACCCTGGGAAATTCATCTTGATTGTCAGAATTCGTTTTCTGCAAGGCGAACGTGACGCTACATGGCGATGAGGTTGCTCCGAACAGACAGACTTTCGTTCTACAGATCTCTGACTCCTTTTCTAAGTCCCCACCTGGCCACCACAAATACCTAAGAGCATCTCGATCATGCACCGGAACTACTACTTGATGGAACATGGCTTCAATGTCCGTCGTAAGACCTATCGGTCGTTGCCGAAACCTGGTAAATACGTCTACTAGGTTATTGACTAAATCAGGTCCAGAATAAAGATTCTTGTTTCATGACGTTCCGGCATACTGAGCTGCACAATCAAAAACTATTCTTAACTTGTTAGGCTTCTTGGGATGAAAGACAGGGTGATGAGAAAGATACCAAATTCGTCCATCAACGTGGTTATCGTTTACCTTTTCAGCATAATCTCGTTCTATATACTGAGTCATAGTGCTCGTATAGTCTTGGAGCAACTTCGTATCCCGAATAAGTCGACCTTTTAAACAGTTAAGTCTACGTTCTGCTAATTTCTTATTATTAGGTAACTTGTGTTTGTGCCTCCAAGGCAGAGCTATTCGATAGTGTTCATTTAACCTTTGCACTGAATTTGATATAGCACTGAGTGCTTTACAGTCTTCTACAGACATCGACGTAGTACAACTAAATGGATCTTTGAATTCGGTTGAGTACAGTTGTTCAAACTTATCCTATAATTCCTCTTTATCTGACAGGTAATTAAGTACACGTTTGTTTCCATGAAGTTCCCCGTAGGGACCAAACAACGTCCAACCTAATAGAGTCCTCACGGCAGACGGTTCGTTTGTGTTTCCGGTTCTTATCTCTTTCATATCGTGTACATTCGGTACATTACACCCAATCAACAGTTTGACATTCTCGTTTTTTACTCTCGGAAAACTTATGCCTTTTAAATGAGACCAGGTTGCCATTTGATTTGCCGTTGGCACAGTCCTGTGAACTGACGGTAGTTTTTCGACTGTCAACACTTTCTGCACCTTAACAGATGACGAAAAATCTATCGAGTGCAACTCTACATCAACCTCCTTGGATATAAAAGACGATTCATTACTAAGAGTTTTTAAAGACACAGTTTTTGGTTTTCCCTCGAGGCTTAACTCCTTAGCTAGATCATCAACAATGAGGGACGTATCTGACCCACTATCTAGCAAGGCGCAAGTCTGAATAATCTTCTCACCATTTTTTAACCATACAGGCACCACTGCAAATGCTACTGGTCTCTGCATACGCTTAACACTTTCGTCCGTACAGAACTGAGTATTAATGTAAACATCACTATTGCTAACTCTCTGTTCTTCCTGCTTCTCGTGTAACAGGGTATGATGTCTCCAACCGCATCCTTCAACAACACATGACCTCGGCGATCGACAGTTTCTTGCTTCATGGTTAGCCTTCAGACAAACATTACATAACTTGTTTCTAAGAACGAATTCTTTCCTTTCTCTAACATTCTTGTCTTGAAACTTCTGACACTGATCTAAAGAATGATTACCTGAGCACTCCAAACAGGATGAACTAAGTAAAGGGACATTGTCATCATTAATACTCGCGTAAGATATCTTTGCTGCATTGTAATCTGCAATAATTCTACCTTTTAAAACCTCAACATCCCTATTGTCACTATTACTACCGCGATTGACGAGTAATCCATACCGAGTATTAGCCATATCCGCTTGTTCCTTTACAAAGGCAGTAAGGTCGGCGAACAGAGGCTCACGACCTCCTCTGATAATCTTATAAGCTGTCTTTAGCCACTTTTGTTAAACATGCGTCGGTAATTTCAGAACCATAGCTTCAATAGTCCTGGTAGAGTTCAGGTCAGAAACGTAATTCATTTGTTCGAGAGTCAAACAGCATGCTTGCATTTCCCGGGACAATTTTCTTAAACCATCTGGTTGGTTCCTTTTTATATTGGGAAAGTTTAGCAAGTTGTCGATGAACGTGCGTGCTATTACGTGCTTTTGACCAAAGGTTTCTTCTAAAAGCTTTAGGGCTTGATGATAGCCTATCTCTGGTTCTAGTATAGCACAATGAAGAATGGCGGCTTTGGCTTCGCCGTCACAATATTGAATCAAGTAATTTAGTTTAGCTCTAAATCCAATATTCTCGTATCCGATGCATTCCTCGAAATTTCTAATAAAATTCCAGTAATTTATTGGTGTACCATCGAATCTTAAGATTTCCCTTTTTGGTAAATACAGATTTTTTAATATTACATCCTCGCTATTGCTTACCAATCGACCGAAACCCTCACTCTTCTGGCAGCGTAACTTTTCTAGCTCAATTTCTTTTTCTAACTGAGTTATACGTAGTCTAACTAACTCTAATTCTATCATGCTATTAGTTTCGGGTTTGTCCTTTTCAAGTTGGTCCTCATCATAAACTCCCAGACGATGGGGTGATAACTCTGGAATCTCATCGGAATCGTAGTATTTATTAGATGTCATTTTTCTGTGTCGAGGATTACTGTTCGAAACTTTGTAGAAAGCAATTTCCTACAGGGGTAACTTTAAGCTATTCTCTAAACTGTCGAATACAGAGTCTTGGTTTCGCCAAAGTCAAAACAAGTAAGCTATTTGGCTTAATAAACTTTATCTGTTTCTAAAACGTAAATTAACAACATCAGTATACGAATAAACAGTAGTCTATTACATAGGGAAAAGGTGAAATATAAATGACATACCGAACAGTAAGTGGAGAATAGGAAAAATGAGTCAAAGGGGAGAATATTGTTCCAGAATGAACATAAAATTGTGATTGGTGGATAAAACAAAGACAGTCATACAAGGTCAAAGAATTTAGTGAGGTGGTGAGCGTTTCACCTATTATTGGTGTGTTCACTTATCGATCACACTTTACAAGTAATTCACTGAATAATGGTTATCCATAAACTGTAGTACTATGTGAGATGTCTACGAAAGCATCAACCTGATGGTTTATTGAATGAACGTAATCACAATGACACGGATGTTACAAATAAAATTAAATGGTTTTTGGTCCTAATCCGAGTTCAAACATTCTTGCATAACGCATCCACCATATTTGTGATAGTTCTCCATTCAAACATCAAAGTTGACATAGTGAGGTTGCGTTTTACATTGCAGACCGATTCGATAGAACAAACTTAGCAAACCGACAGCAAAAGTATTCAGCCAACACATCACTTCCACATGAACATTGTTGAATTAATAAAATATATGGAGCAATCGCGTGTTCTCGTCAATGATGAGATAGATATTGAAGAAAATGAAATACTCAGTCATATGTTGATTTATTTCATTTTCCCACATTTCAGTTAAGTATTTGTATCTATCGGAAGTTTCAAAAGTGATAAGTATGTAACCTATTGAAACAAATTTACTGACCATATTATGTCGAATACTATTTAACGGTGAAGTGGTGTATGAAGACGAAATATTGTGTGTTTGGATAATGGAAGTTGGCAAAATAGCGTAACGAACTATTGCAGGATGGTTCATTAGATTCAATGATGCACAATTGATGTTCAATTGAAATATAAATTAGAATGGATGCTTGAGATACAGTCCATTATTGTGTAGATCTCAATAAAATTTTACTATCGCACTTGACACCTGACCACATGGTGATTTTCTGATCCATTACTCTAGTGCGATCTACATCATGTTTGATCAATTGAATACATATATGTTGGTCGAGATCCATTAAACAGTTTTACGTTTGTCCAGTCGTTCATTTCGTATGTACACTTGTATAATATTAATATATATTCTGAAAATAATGTTTACAGAATTCACACCAGTTTACAGGCATGATCAGATTGTTATAAAAATCAACATTTAATGTAGAGAGCAAACATGAAATCTAAGAAAGTTTTATGTTTACTGGTTTAGTAATTGATAAGTATATTACATATGGCAGGCCAATGCAACATCTGGGAATTTGTCATTTTTTCTTAAGTGCATAGCCTGATGTTCTGTAAGGTTATTTCTAGTGCCAAAGCGATTTATTGATAATTATCTACAACTAGAGAAAGTAAGATTAAAGCAAAGAGCACTGAACAACAAAACAATGATAGCAAGTAAGAGGTTAAACATTTAAAGTTCCGATAATCTCACTTGTGGGGTAAGATGCACTTATAGGCGCTAGAGCATTTAATGCATTTTCAGAGGAGCAAAAGGCATTAATTGAGCGAACAAACAATTAAAGAGAGTTTAACATACGGATAGTTTGAGGTAAATTATTCCACAGCCTAGAAAACTTACTGTTATGATTTGACCTAGACTGTAGCCAATTGTTATGACTTGATCAAGGTCGTCGCTGATTCGTTATGACCTTACGAATTTAACAAGGACGTAATTCTCGTAAATGATCCACCAATAGAATACGCCTTCTACGACCTTCACACTGTGACAATGACGTTCGATTAATATGAGTAATCTAGCGTCCTTATTGGTCCTTATCCGCCTACCCGTCCACTTGAGTCCAGAACACAAATAACAGCCTCGGAAATATGAATCATTATTCACAAGCACACTGGGTTATATATACTAACCAAACAGACCCAATTATACCAAAAAATAGAAAAATAACATTTGTACAGTAATTGGCCAATGTGGCTGTAGCTAGGGGGAAAGTAATCAATAATAATAGTTCCAAGGTCAAAACAAAGGTTGTGATAAGAGGAACACGGAAACGACTAGGTCACTTATTTAACAACTATCCAATAGGGAATGGGCATATTGTATTTGTCCATAAATAGACATCAGATTTAGGTTACTCATTTAACAACTATCCAATAGGAATAGGCGTATTACATTTGTCCATAAATGGACATCAGATTTATGATTCATAATTCGCCAGGGGATACAACACCTCCCCTTTTTGAGAAATCCGGATTTTTAATTTCCTCGAATTCACCCTCCCCCACGAAAGACTGTTGGATCCTCATATAGCCAAGTTACTATTAATGCGATATGTTTGTCACATTTAACAGGGAATGCATTAGAACTGAAAAGATCATGAGGATCGACGACATTTGATTCGAGGTCACCAACATTTGATTCTTCTGAAATAGTTTTCTTGAATTTCCTCGGAACCTCATTAGTAGATAATGAATCATTAGGATAATCAGTATCTATGAGAGTTGTATTGGATTCTTGATTATCATTAAATACATTTGACATTTTTCTCTCATTTTTATAAGAGAATTCAACAGAAACATATGAATCATCAAAATAATCTAAATCTGGTAGAACAATTACAGAATTTTGATCATTACATTCATTAGAAACATTTTCCGTATCATGATTAATTTCATTTGGTGCCACTGTATTCCATATACTGCTCGATTTGTTTCCCGTTTCTTCGTGGGCGGGTACTGCAGCAATTTCATGAGCATTTTGCAAGACATTTACTTTCTGTGAATAGGATAATTCATTGTTTGCACGTCCGTTTTCGGGATTAATAAGACTTGGACCGTGTACAGGGCATGTCTCTGAAACAGGTAGTACTGGGTTACTGGGCTGATCATGTATAACTGCTGCGCTTAAATTATTGCTTTGTATGGATTCATTGAGGCTTTCGACGGCATATTCATTAGTTCTGTAATTGTTTTCCAGCTCTGTACGCAATTTTGAAATTATTGCGTCAACTTCCGTTTCACTCCCAAAGCATGGGTGATTCAGCAGCTTCGCGTGTAATTTGTCAATGAAATCCAATTGACTCTCTCTGAAGCGCTGCTCTTGTCGCTGGATTAGCAACTGAAATTGGTCGGAAGTTAAGGCCATTTTTTTTAAAATGTAAATAATAATAATAAATCCAAAAAAAAACACCGGCAATTATTATGAATTATTTAATTCCGAAATGACGTCAGCGGCTGCTGTATTTTTTTCCAGAATCCCCGTCGCCAATTGTTATGGCTTGATCAAGGTCGTCGCTGATTCGTTATGACCTTACGAATTTAACAAGGACGTAATTCTCGTAAATGATCCACCAATAGAATACGCCTTCTACGACCTTCACACTGTGACAATGACGTTCGATTAATATGAGTAATCTAGCGTCCTTATTGGTCCTTATCCGCCTACCCGTCCACTTGAGTCCAGAACACAAATAACAGCCTCGGAAATATGAATCATTATTCACAAGCACACTGGGTTATATATACTAACCAAACAGACCCAATTATACCAAAAAATAGAAAAATAACATTTGTACAGTAATTGGCCAATGTGGCTGTAGCTAGGGGGAAAGTAATCAATAATAATAGTTCCAAGGTCAAAACAAAGGTTGTGATAAGAGGAACACGGAAACGACTAGGTCACTTATTTAACAACTATCCAATAGGGAATGGGCATATTGTATTTGTCCATAAATAGACATCAGATTTAGGTTACTCATTTAACAACTATCCAATAGGAATAGGCGTATTACATTTGTCCATAAATGGACATCAGATTTATGATTCATAATTCGCCAGGGGATACAACACTTACAGGCAAAGCAATTCATATAGAGAGAAGATCTAGAATATGTTTGTTTCGCTAAAGACAAGGAGTTACGAATGTCGTAATGTGAGGCTTTAGAATATTGAATCGCCTGGCTGGATGTGAAGTAGAGTTTGTTAAGTATTTTGAAAAAGAAGATAAGGTTAAGTTTGAGCCTCCTCATCCATAAAGGGTCAAGCCCTAGTTTACTACACCTCGAATTATATGTCAAGACACTATCAGGTCCAAGAGTACGAAATGTAAATCGTCTCTGTACTGATTCCAGTCTTAATTTATCCTTTATGCGCGTGCTACTAAGGAGAAACGCGCAGTATTCGAGGAGTGGTCGAACTCAGACTATGTACATTGGAATACGAGATTCGCTGTCATGAAGGTTTCGAGTTATGTAACCTATAAGGCGTTGAGACTTGGACGTTTGTTTCATTATCTGTTCAGTAAACGACAAGTCGTCAGAGTACCGAAGTCCTAGATCTACTACTGTGTGTAACATAGATAACATTTCACCATTTATGGTTAGATCGAGGTTGAGTGATGTATCACCGAAGCATAACCATCCACATTTAGCTGTATTAAGTTCCAGTTGCCATTTCGAGCACCATTGTGCTACTTTGTTAAGCTCCGTGCTGATACAATTTTAAATATTGCTCAGCTCATGTGGAGAAAATGAGTTCACCACCTTAAGATCGTCTGCATATAAAAGGGACTTACCCACACTAAAACAATCACAAATATCATTAATGAAAACTAAAAAGAGCAAAGGACCTAAGACACTACCCTGAACTACCCCACTTCTAACAGGGACGGCATTCGACAATAAAGAGTTGATTTTAACTATTTGATGTCGATTGCTGAGGAAGGAATGAGACCAGGCTAGTAACGGGTTTTGAACCCCATAAGATGATAGTTTACCTAAGAGAAGTTGGTAGTTGACCATGTAGAAGGCCTTAGAAATGTCCAGGTATAGCACTAATACTAAATATCCTTGGCTAAGAAGCGAATAGACTAAATTAAAGAAGTCAAAATGACATGTCATACAGGATGGATTTTTAAGAAATCCATGTTGCAAATCAT